CACTGTAGGCATATGGGCATGAGATGACGCGATTTCTCTTTTACTAGTTTCAATGTTCGTTGTAAAAAAAAGCGCAATTTTGTATCGTCTCCAGTTTAAATTTCAAGAACCTTATTTAAAATTTCTACGTAACTGATGTGATTCGTTGATAAAAGACGTCGTCTTCATGGCAATATAAAACAGATGCATGGTTTTCTCAGAACTAATGAGTTAGGATTATGAACTTCCCTCTCACAACCCTCCAATATAATTATAATTATATGAAAACTAAATTTAGATACCATTATTTGGAAAATGAGTAAATTCGGTTATGATGTGTTAGTAGATTGATTTATTTCTAATGGCAAAATTACAGTGGTTAAGTTTACTTCAGTTTCAGGTGTTGGGATGTAATTTAATTGATACTAAACTAACTTCATTGTATTTATTTCTGTGCCAACTTGCATATTAATAGTTTACTTCTCGAAACTAACTCGCAAGTGATTGTTCATTGTCACACCCTCTTCGTGACTGAAGTTGTAGGTTTCAAAACTGTGAGTAAACACTAATGGAAACTTGCGTAAGCAGAAATTGATTCTTCTGTTGCTTCGTGACGACACACCTATCGCTGACTCATTCCACTCAACAGGTGTAATTCATAATGGATATATCCTGCAGATTAATTTCCGAGTGTGTTTGTTTGCTTGTTTTGTAGTCTATTTACTACAACTACTTACGAGACTAAATATGACCTGAAATTTTCCTGTGAAAATAACAGTAAGGTTGCTTATTTTTATTTAAATGTATTGAACTGGTTGTCCCATGCAAACATTCCGCTCTTTTTAACTCTTTGTTTAAAAGTAAAAGTAACCGAAATTGGAATTATTTTCGCCTTCACAATATACACACAATTCGTATGTAGTATGTACTTTGGCGCAACAGCTCTTTACGAGCTAAGACCTACCAGCAGCGTCCCGGCTTTGCGGCCACGAGTTAAAGGGTTCATGTGGTTAACACATAGCCGTCACTACACTGTATTTTTAGTATTCTCAAGCTAAGAAGTGAGCTTTCTCGTCGTGAACATATTCTGGGGCATTGCAAGGAAAGCTCACAATTAATTTTCGCCCCTACCGGGAGTCGAACCCAGGGTGGCGCCGTGGAAAGCCAGCGCGCTAAGTCACAAGCCAACGAGCGTCTGTACGGAATACGTACAAATTCCAAAAATGTAATATAACGTCCAAAAACTCAAAACCTTGGTTCTTCGGGCCTGGGATGCATCGCATCCGAGATATGTTCAATGGCAACTTGTGTTGCTCGTATGTTGTGTAGCGCGTAATCTGTGCTGCCGGTAGCTTGTGTGCCAGGTGTTTTCCTTATAATCTGCCAACTTATTTTACTTCCTGACTTACTGCTTACGCAGAATAGAAATAGTATTATAATGCTGCGGGTAAAACGGCCATTTGTAGACAGAAAAACTTTTTGTCAGGCCCTGGTAATGAAAAAGGAGATACATCTTGTTCCTAGACTCCTATACCGTCATAATCTACTTAAGAATCTGACACAAAGAGGTTTTAAACAGTTTACCGCCTTAAATGCTACTGTTCCAATCCTTCACAATATGATAAATCTTTATTCTTTTCATCAGCATGCATTTTATCTAAATGCTCTCGGAACCTATACAGTTTCATAAATTCATTTGAAGTTTCTTTGGCAAATTAAACGCGTAGGAAATGATTGGGTGTAGGGCAGTTCACAGGTTTAAAGCACAACTTGCATTGCAAGGCAAACCGTCCATTTCATCTAGTTAACTCAGGTGTACGCCTACTCTCACATAAATCCCTGGCAGCTTAGGGAGATGAAAAGAACACCCTTGGAGGGCTACTGATGGTGAGAAAGCTTCCCTTCAGAAACACTAGAAATAAATTGGGCTACGATAGGTGACGTCAGGTTAAATAAGAAAATCATTAACTCAAAACAAACGTAATGAACATCATAAGGGACATAATCACAGTACATCATAAATCAAATTTCGCATGAAATTATCGAAGGCAATTCGAGTGAAATTAGAATGAATGAGTAGCGTACGTGCGCTAGGACATAAGAAAATTAAACAATTGAAATATTAAGATTGCAGTTCAGGTTGGAAGTTACGCAATATATATTAACAATTATTAATTCAATTCAATTTTCAAATTGAAGGTTATGTGAGTCATTAAGCTCAGAAGCGGAAGAAATAACTATGTGAGAACCAAATACATTATACATTAATTTCAATGCTGTGCAATGATGCATAGCAAGGACTAAACAGTTGAAACATTACATTTACGCAAGTCAATTGATGTACATTTAATACACTATAACACTGTGCAATGACGCCCAGGAGATAATAAACAGCTGAAACATTGTGTCCATTATATATAATTATATAAGTCAAAGAATGCGACTTGAAACTGATATTGCTGAAATGTGATATCTGCGGCTGTATACCTCATACATTAATGTTCACAATACAGACTGTATAGAATACAGAAATGAAGTGATTGAAATCATGGGACACTACCAAATTCCGGTGCTGGGTGCACCGTGACATATACAAAATAGAATCTTGGTCCAATATGACACTGTCTAGTAAAAACGCATTGAAAGTACTGATGACATATGATAAAAGTGATTGCACTCAGCACCCATGTATTCGTATTAGTTTTAAATTAATTACGTTTTTGCTATATTTTTGCTATATATTTGCCTATTGTGCTATAATTAATCATGGATTTTACAAAGAGGGGTGGCTGAAATGTGTTAATATGTGTATAAATTGCGGTACTATAATTTTTACATTACTGTTACTATTGCAAGAAACAACGTGGTATTGTATCTCTACTAGATTTCGTTGTAAAATGTTTGAAGAATGGCTATGGAGGAAGGGTGTAATACCCTTTCAGCAGAAGCACACTTTCGTAGTTTTGTGTCCAGGTTTCTTGTGAATTTTCATGTAAAACTGGCATCTTGTCTTAGCGTATTACGTACAGAGATATAAAATAACAGCATTATATTTCCCCGAGTTATCTTGCAGGCAATCTAATTGTAATTTCCTTTTATAGTGATTGGTGACTACAAATAGTATTTTGAAGAATCTGATTAATCTCATGTAATATTATTGGTTCTTGAAAAAAATGCTCTTTGGAAAGGCTATTTCGAATTCAGATCACATGGATGCAGCATTGGTTGCAGGTGAGACTACTTGTGATCCAGAGAGCTCGTATGTAAAATGCGCAAGTATTTATTGGCCCCTCTTTAAGGACGCTATTCATACCGTGACATGATTTAGTTATTTTCTATCGGCTCACGTTTTCTGTTGTGCACGAGAAGTTTCCAACATTCCTACAATGATCATCGCACAGCCCATTAAACAGTACACTGCAGTTTTTTTTAGAGAATAGCACATTATCTTCGTAAATTATAACCCTCAAGTCTTCCAAATAACAGCATTACCCCAGAGGTGTCTTCCAAAAACCGTATATATCACGAACAAAACCTTACATAATGATAATTACGAAAAACGTATGGCAATCTACAACCGGATCTTTTTAGGTGAAAAGTGAACCCGCTCGTTTTGGTATGAGCTGAACAATTACCATAAGATAACGAGAACCCTTCAACGTAGATCACAGAGCCAACAAATTTTGTGTTAACTCTCGATCACGTCAGCCATGTTTCAACCAGAGGGTTCGTCGATGTTTGCAGAGAACGGAGAATTCACTGGCAACACCGGAGGCGGCGATAGCAGCGGCTGCACGGCGCAAGATAACGTCGAAGATGGCAACGACGAGACAACACGGTGGTGACAATGATGTCGTAATACTGGGAGGAAAGGTGCAGTGATTGCACTAGATTTTGATTATCTGATTAGTGTTTCCGGGCGCGTCAACTAACGGGTCATTGGTCTTGTAAGTGTTGTGCATGTTTCATCGCGTGAGGTGGCTGTGATTTTCCCCAGCTGATGGCGAAATCCGCCTCCAACCTACAGGTCAGCCTCAGACGTTTTCCCCAACCAGATATCTTCCACCAGCGTGGCACCGCCCTACCCCGGCATTCGCCTGGTGTTGATCGGACAAGCCACAGAAAACTATCGTTTAGAGCAGCGGACCGTTAGAATTCTCCTTCAGACTGTGGCTGAATTCGACCTAACCACACAGCTAGTGTAAAAAATCCTACCAGCGTCGGGACTCGAACCCTCGGGCCCCACGGTCAGTGATGTCAGATGATTCCCTAAGATTGCGCTGGATCAGTGGCGGTGGGGCCGAAGGCGCGGTAGGTAGACAGTGGCGAGAGCTCTCTCCTTCCCCCGCTAAGTTGGGGGCTGAAATTCCGGACGTTCCAAATGGAATTTGTGGAGGCCAAGTGGATTTCCGGAAGGTTCTCTCGGGGTTTTCCGTTTCGCTGACTATCATTCCACTCTCACTCCATCATCATTCATTTCATATTCTCACCACCACCTCCACAACAACTCTTATTCACTCTCGTCCAGATATGGTCATTAGGCGTAGGCTCTAGGGCCGTAATAAAACGTAAGCGAAGACCGCTGTGAAGATGAAGATGAGGATAGCGTTGAAGTGGAAATTGTGGAGTGTGACAAGACACTCGTAATTCGATGACGCTGAGAGAGGCGATGATACTAGGTGTGAGGGTGACGGCAGCGGGGGGGACAGTGGAGACGTCAGTGACGATGGTTATCTAGTATCGGTATCGGTCTCCGTGGTGGTGACGATAGTAAAATCGATTGCAGTATTGATGAGGGCATGGATGGTAATAGCTGAGACTGCGTCCGAGGCAGTGAATCCGCTGCTCGCGATTGCGGTGGTGACGGCAAATGCCGAAGCAGTGGGTGTGATAGATACAGTGGCATTGGCAGTAGAAACTGCCATCGACGCAGGTAGAGGGGCCGGCGGTGGAAGGAAATGTGGATGATTTGCCCGGGCACGGGCGATGGGTATGGGGTCGACGGAGACAGTGCCAGGATAATGGTGGTGAATCTGGATGATTGTGATGGTGGCGTCGCGATTGTGGTGAAAACGTGCTCTGAATGGGTAACCGTGGATCAAGCTGTGGCGTCGGTAAGGATGGGACACGGTGTTGTGGCTGTGGAGATGAAAATGAAGGTGAAGGTGGGAATGGTGATGGGTGAGAAGGTAGTCCCAACGGAGGGCTGGAGAAGTAGCGCGGCTGTTGAGGGGGGACAGATACTGTGTGATTTCGGTGGCAATTAAGGTGCACGAGGTTGAGGAGGAGCAGGGGGGCGACTGAGGATGGGGGTCGAGGAGGGGGAGATGGAGGTAGGAGGTGGATGGAGAAAGTGGAGGTGGTACAGAAGTAAAAGGAGGATGAGGAGGAAGTAGTGATGGTGGTGGTAGCGGAGGAGGCCTGAGGACGAGAGGAGGAACACGAAGAGGTGGAGGAGGAGGAAGAAGAGGAGGGGGGAGAGGGAGATGGAGGAGGAAGAAGATGGGGAAAAGATGAGGGAGGTGGAGTACGAGAAGGCGAGGGAGGAGGGGTGAGGTGGAGAGGAGAGCCTTGTGTGAGGCCATAGCCGCGGTGGCTGCTCTGCGGGGCGTGCCGTGTGGGGCGGGTGGCTGGAGTTTTATGGCCAGCCGTTGGCCTGCCCCGTGCAAGATCAGGTTCAAGGGCAACTTGCGAAAACGCGCGGGCAACGCCTCCGCGGCCACTGCCGCTGCCGCTGTCGCCACTCGTTCTCTATGGTTCAGTATTATTTCCCGTCTTGTGTTGTCCATTATTATTTCCTGTTTGCACACAAACCTTTTGAAATATGTATCACCTCAAAAGGAAATTGAAAACATTATTTTCTCTCATTCTAGTCCCCAAAATTAAATTTATTAATATCACTATCATCCTACCACTCCTTGTGTTGCTTCTGAACATAAATGTAGCTTCGCTAAGCGCACATTATTTGAGCGCTCCTTTAGCAAATTGTCGACTAGAGCCGAGTTTGTGGGTTACTAATTTGTTATCAAAACAAAAAATTAAATATCGTTTATTTACGAATGCAAATAATTTTTTCTATACTTCAGGAAGAAAAAATTATAGAATTCAAATATTGCTAACCTCGCGTTTTGGTAACTGAATTCATCATTCAACTAGTATAATACAAGGCACAACTAAGTGTAGTAACTGAAACGTAATGGTTTTTTCCGTCTCCATGACAGTCGCCAAACTCTAGTTTTCTATTATATCATTACTAAGTTATGTTATAACATTACTACTTATCTAAGTACCACAGATGCGATTTAGGTGGTCTCTAAACTCCGATCCTCCCGGTTCCCTTTGACTAGCCGTGCGCACGCGACTTCTGGGGCGGCCAAGTCGCGTTGCTTGTGCACAGGATGGCTAAAACTCCCAATCGCTCGTCAAAGGTAAAAGTGAAAATCGTGTCTAAGTGATCATTCTCGCCACGTAAAATAAGGCAAATTCAATTCAATTCAATCATTCACCACCATGGCTACTTTTCACTTCAACCCGTCTCCCTCTTCCTCCCCTCTCTTTTTCTCCCTTCCTCTCACCATTCTTGTCTCTCTTCCATTTTTCTCTTTCTCCCTGCTTTCTTCTTCTCCCGTCAGACAACACACCAACAGTAGCACTAATGCACTAGACAACCTCACACCCGAACACACACCCCACACCTCACACACCACACACAATTCACACCCTCACACAACACATATCAGTCATGCACACACCTCACCCACACACACACAAACGCTCAACACACACACAGCACACACCTCACCACAACACCACACACCTCACAGTCAACACAACCCTCACACACACACCTGCATTGACACAGCACCATCAACACACACAGCTACCTCACACACACACACACACACCTCACACACACACAACCTCACACACACACACACACCTCACACACAAACCACACACCTCACACCACACACCAGCTCACACCCACACGACCGGCTCACAACACACTCACAACACACAGCACCTACACCACACCACACCTCAAACACACACCACACTCACAACACACACAAACCTCACACACAAGCACCTCACACACACACAACCACGACCTCAGCACACACCTCACACACACACACACGCTCACACACCACACACCTCACAACACACACACCCTCACCCACACACACCTCACATCGCACACACGCGTCACTACACATTCACACCTCACACACACACACACCTCACACACCCAGTGCACCTCACTACACACACACACCTCACACACACACACCACCTGCACACACACAACACACCTCCCAACACACACACACCTCACACACACCAACACACCTCAACACACACACACCTCACACACAGCACAACCTGCACACACACACACACCACACCTCACACCACAACCACACCTCACACACACACAACACCTCACACACACCCACACCTCACAAGCACACCACACCTGCACACACACACACCCTCACACACACACACAACACCTCACCAACACACACCTCACACCACACACACACCTCAACACACCACACCTCACACACACACACACTCACACCACACACACACTCACACACACCAACAGTCCTCACACACACAACTACTTATCGCTGCACTCCGCCACTATTCTTAAGAGAGTAGCGCTCTCCATGACTCTCACTATCTCTAGCCAATCATCTCGGTTAGCATATGAACCCACTATTCTCCATTCCAGTACTAAATACAATGAACGCCGCCATATGTTCTAATATTCTCTTTAATTTCCATTTTCGTCATCGGGTCGCCCTTCGGCGTAGCCATCGTTACCACCCTTATAACTTCTTCTTTCTCTTAGCTCATTTCACCTCTCACTTCGTAGTCTTCGACCTCACGTCTCCAATAACATTCATTCGGCAAACGCATCCAGATGTTTCCACCGATGCTTTTGCTTTCATTGCCTGCGCCGCGTCAACCACAGTCGCCTCCCGGCCTGCTTCTTTTTCCGCCCTTCCACATCACATCGTTCATTTCCGTCGGGTTCATTTAGGTCCTTACATTCGCCACCTTTCCTTCTCCACCTCCTCCAATACAGCCCTTTCCTCCACATCCGAATGTGGACTCAATCCCCGACCAAATCTCGCGAAATTTTTGTTCGACAAAGCAAAATCTCGCCAGGGTTCCCTTTTATTGTCCCGATTTCTGTATCTATCATTCCATCATTACCCCAAGAATCGCTGACATGTTCTCATGGGTCTCGAGAGTGACAAATCTATCAGCAACAGAAGGATCACAAAACTCCAATAAATAATTACATAAATAAATGACTAAAGTGTATTCATTAATAATAAATTATTTATTAATTAATTAACAATAAGTTTCATTTCCTGCACACGCCTCTCCTCTTAGCTCCTTTTCCGTCAACGCACCACAGTCACGGTCTACCTATATTGTGTTGCCTTCTCTCCGGACGCTCCTCCTCGCCCTCCCTCTCCTCCAACACACCAATTCCCCCCATCATCTCCATTTCGGTCGCTGCCGCCTCCGCCGCCGCGGCCACACCCGGGAGGGGCGTGGCGTGGCGTGGCGCGGCGAGGCGGAGTCCCTGGGGGCGGCGACCCGCGCGTTGGGGTCCAAGGACACGCAAGAGCAGGAGGCGCGCTATATAAGCGCCCCGGGGAGACCGCGGCCACATCAGTTGCTTCTCCAGACGAGCAGCGCATCACCTCTCTCCAACTCACCATGAAGGCCTTCGTAAGTACCGCTCGCCTGCGCGCCGCGCCGCCCGCCCAAACGCACGTCCACCCGTCCAAATGTACGCACACCAGTTGGTGTAAGGCAACTGACACAATCGAGGCGATTTTCCCGAAATATCGGTAGGCCTTTTTGTCCGACTTACTGGATTCGTTGAAACACCTTATGGTAAACGAAGACGGTCATAGTTAACACGAACGACCTCTTTCGAAAACAGTGGTTGTCGGACGATGATCCGTTTCGTTTGAGTTTGTCCGCTCGACATTGGTCGTCCGAAATGTCGGGCAAAATCGTCTCCGCTGTGGTCGCCGCCTAAGGGTTTCTTTGCTCGCGAGGATGCAGCCGCCGATGCCACTCGAGATGGTGTCTGCTCGCAATCCGGTTTACTCTCAGGACTCTCCGGGAAAGTCAGCCTTTGGGAACCTCACACACTTCTTATCTGCCCTTTTTAGTGAGATGAAAGGAACACTTCCATTAATACGCTGAAAGTGTCGTCTATACCTTTCCATAATCTCTTCATCACATTCGTTTGTATGTTAATGGTTTTGCAAATAGTTATTACGTGAAAATATGAACCGCCAGAGAATAGACAAAAAGATGAAAAATGATATATTTTAAAAAGAAATTAAACTAGAACTAGTAAAATGTGTCTTAAATCAGCAATTTATTAATAATTATAAAAGCACCACGATTAGTGCTGAACAAAAAAACCAAAAAATGTGAAGAATATTCAAAAAAATGTATGTACGGAAATTAGTTATTGATTTCATTTTAATATATCTGTATTACCCACAAATCTCATCAGTGTCGACAATACGAAAATTTCAAATGTAGACTGTGAATTCACATTATTAGTACTGTCGAATTCACGAAACAAAACAAAGCCGATGTTCTATGATACTTCTTCGCCCGATACTGAATCCAGATCGGTGTTCGAGACATGCATGTTTTTCTTTGAACGCGGTGAACATGTTCACGTTTGCGTTGTACATGTTCATTTTCGCGCTTTGCGTCGAGCATTTGCATCTTTTCTTTGAGCATGTTCAACTGAGTGTTGAGCATATTTACGTTTAGCATGACCAACTTTATGTTGGACATCTTCAACTTCGCGTCGAGTATGTGCATCTTCTAGTTCAACAATGAGTTAAGCATACTTGTTCATTGCATACAGCACGTTCACAGTTGAGTTGAAAATCTTCAGCTTTAAGTTGAACATGTCCATTCTATTTCTATTTGGGCAAAAAATTCAAAAAAGATTGAAGCCGTTTTTGAGAAAATCTTGTTCACGTAATTTTACTATTCCTCTCTACCTTAGTGTAGAGGGGAATAGTATTGGAATCGTGTCATGAATATAATTTCAAATTTTCTGTCTTAAAATCCGTATTGAATATTCTTGCGTCGTAACTTCGCACTCACATCAGTATTATTGGTGCTTTTCCAAAGTTAATTAAACTTGGTGTCAGTGGCGAGAAGTTACATGGAAGTTTGTAGCGGAATAGAGAGAGGACTAAATGTAGACATGTATGTAGTTATGTTTGGATAGGTGTACGTCTATTTCACATATAACTCTATCAGATTAGCAACTTTTAAGTTGAAACTTGGTAAACGCGCCAGGAGTAAGATCTATTGTCGTTCCGAGGACCATTAATATATTTGAATTTGGGGGGTACTTTGCATGAAGACCCTGTGACATTGTCAAATTTTTTGAAGAATGTCAGAAACTTCTTTTTAATTTTTTTGCTGGGATAGAGGAATGTGGGTTTGTAATTACGGCGTACGTCCGATTTTCATTAAAACGTCTTCGATTTTAAACCAGTCCTTCACGCCACACCTTGAATATTCAAGACAGATCTCAATTCTCTCTCTATGCAATCTAACACTCAACAGTAGATATTTAAATGATGTCATGCACTTTTTAAAATAATATAAAAGTGCTGTCGAGTACTAAAAGTAGAAAGAAGAAAAACGTCTGTATGTCGCGAATTCACGCTAGTTTGAAAATAACCTTGAGTCCGCACTGAACACTACGCAAAAGCTGATGCTTTCTTTTACACGGTTTGACCACTAAGTTAGCTCAGACACAGCTTTGCCATTACCTCTGCAGTGACTTTAACCGGGAGATCCTAGGGTATAACTAACGGGCCACTAACAGTGCGCGATCTTTTCTTCCCCATCCTTCTCCAATCGCCTCCCTTACACACGCATACACCCGATATGTGCACTAAGCACACATCGGGAGCTGAGAGGTGGTTTCGGCTGGAGGGATTCCCCGCTAGGGAAGGTTACTGGAGGGGATGTCCCCCGCAAGCTGACGTGCAGGTCGGCGTCGGATCTCACCCTCCATCGGAGAAGAAACTCCGCTACCTCCCGAGATTAAAGATTAGTCCCTAGCGAGCCTAACGTCCTGAGCAGTCGAGTCGAATGCTGTGTTCCGTGTTGCAGGCTGTGTTGGCTCTGCTGGCCGTGCTGGCGGCGGCGTACGCCCAGGCCCCCGTGCCGCAGAAGGCCGAGCCGCAGCCCGCCAAGGACCTGAAGGGCTCCGAGGCCGTGTACCTGGGCTACGGCTACGCCGCGCCCTACGTGGCCTCCTACGCCTACGCCGCGCCCTACGCCTACGCCGCGCCGTACGCCTACGCCGCCCCCTACGCCTACCCGTATCTGTACAAATGAACCCAACCCACCGACCCCGCCACTCCCCGCATCGCTAATCCTGACTAGCCCTCTTTCTAGCTCTACGTTCTTTCCCATGTGTTCATAAATAAAAAATGACAATCGCTGTTATTCATTTGTTTTTATTAATTACCTTTATTGATATTTCCCGCATCCACAATATTTTTTTCCATTCTGGTAGGGGGTTTCTCGAAAAGTGTTTGTCAGGTAGTAGTGGTACCCCTGAACATTTCGAAAGATGTCCCGTAGCAATAGAAAATAAAACATTGTACTTCGTAAATGTGAAGCCGTTTTTGACAGAAAATGTTTGAGTTTTCTAAAAACTTCACTCGAAGTCATTTTAAATACTCACAAATACAATAGTGTTTACAAATTGCTGGAAATGTACATATAAACGGCGTGAGACATCTTTCAAAACATTTACAATTGAGTAATTTTGAGAAAAACTACACAATACCCCCAAATGAACTTTACGTCATATTAAAGAGTGGAATTAGCACTATCCGTTCGAAATGTTTGAAGAAAAATTTGGAGCCGTTTTTGAGAAAATGGCGTTGGAACGTTTTTGAAAATGTGGAGTTTCCAGCTAGTTGTTACAGAATACGGTAGAGTTTTCGAGAAACTTGACACATTATTTAAAGTACATGAACTCATAAATACTATATATAAACGACATGCGAATCCAAGCGAAGTCAAAAAATACATTTTTGTAAATTTTGAAGAAACAAAAAAATATAGCAATATGGCGTTTATGTCATCTGATAGAGTTCATTTAGCGCTATCTCTACTAAATGTTTAAAGAAAAAATGTGCAGTCATTTTTGAGATTTTTTTAAATTGCACGAATTGCACGCAATATTGCGCGAAAACTTCTACAATTTTCAAAAAACGTACATGACCTTAATGAAAGAACTCACTATGGAGAAGAAATTGTATTTAAAGGGAAAATCTCTAGCTTCAATTTTCTAAACAGACGCCCGGAAAATTAAAAAATTGAAATTTTCGTAAAGCCAAGTTAAACCTGAAAATCGATCTTATGCCATCTTTATATGTTAAAGAAAAAAATCGGAGCCGTTTTTGAGAAAATTTTGAAAATATCCGAGATAAAGTAACGAAAAAAAATGTATGTCAGATTCAAGCGAATCCAAGGGCCATCAGCCAATTGGAGAACATCAATTTCGGCGTAAATCCTGATTACGGGATTTATTCGTTAGCGTTGTTCACAGAGAGACTGACAGACGTTTTGTCGTTACACGATTTTTCGATGTGAAGATCACAAAACGAATTTTGACACCACAACGTGTTTGCGGAAGTATAGGGACTGTGTAGGAACAAGATTTATCCACTTTTTGTTACCAGGTCCCGACAAAAGATTTTCTGTCGAAAATTTGCCGTTCTTCCCACAGCATTACAATACTTTCTCTTGAAAGTAACTAGTGGTGCAATATCACATATTTTCCTTACATTATTGGAAATGGTTAAGTATTTTAACTTCTATCACGCTAACCATTCAGTCATCATTTGAAAAACATCAAATCAAGCCAAGTGCTAGAGTTAAAAAACATATTCTTCTGAAATTTCAAATATTAGGTAAAATGGCTTTACGCCATTGAATTGAGTATTTTGTGCTCTATTTCTGTAAAAAGTTTAAAGAAATTCAAATAAAAATATTTTCTCCTGCAGGGATTCAAACTTCAGCGCTATGAGGAAGAATTTCCGGAGGTGTGGGACTGTGAGCAACTGATAAACCAGGTTCTTAAGACTGGTTTAATGCATAATAATATTCTACAATATTCATTTCTAAAACTCGCAAGAATTGAAGGAAAACTTGGAAACCTCTGTACATGAGAAAGGTGTCTAAGGTTTCGATAGATACTCGGAATCTAGAAAATCAGTTTCAATTTTGACTGAAGAATGGAACTATTGGAGAATTTCAATTTTTCAAAAAACTCAACATGTTTCCACGTGATATTGCATTTCTTGAAAGATTCAAGTTTTCAACTACCAAAAGAGCAAACCGTAACTTTGAAGTCTCTTGCTTTCTTATCATACGTTTCATTGCCTGAGAAGGTTCTTTTAGAGTGAAACTAACGGTATTTGACGCCTCCCACGTCGTTCTCAACAAACATTCGTCCACAACTAGACACTAGTGGATCCTACATACTCGCTACAGCTTACGCAGTAGATATCAAGTTATGTAATGCTTCGTGAAAAAATGAGAATGATAGGCAGAGAAAGTCCAATTTCAAGACCTTGGTAACAAAAAAGTGGATAAATCCACTTGCAAAATTTAGAAAAAATCTTATATCATGTGGCATTGCCAGAATCCATATTTTGTGGGTCTTATATAAAGAAAAATCGAATGGCAGAAAACGGCCGTCCGACCGCCCCTGAACAACGCCAGAGACTAAACCGTTCAGCCGACTTTCTCCAACATTAGTAGCAAGAATAGTTTGGGAGGTAGAGCCTATTGAATATGACTATTATGTTCTAAGTGTTAAAAACTAGAAAATACATGGATTTCACGTCAAGGAGGGCACGGTAGAGGGCACGTTTCTCATCCGTTTATGACAAATGATGACATTTTCTGAAACTACCTGAATTTTAAAACAGGAGAGAGCTGAGAGAATTAATATAGCTTGCGCAGTTTAAGATATACACTTCTTTTTGGGGACAAAAAATGTTAGGTTTTGTCGATTCATCTGTCGACGAAATTTTCCGATTTCCAACATGACACGGATTTTTTTGAAAATCAGGGTTCTAGAACGAAAATTCATAGCGAACACACTGGTGATACCAATTTTTCCATTTGAAACTCATTTTTCAGAAAATCGCAAAAGTTTCACCATAAACGTCCATTTTTTTTCAGCCAAATAGCAGAGTAGAAAAGTGCAATTTCAAGCAGTTTCCTATACAACCAGAGGCTTTATTTAAATTCAAATTAAAGAGTTGAGTACATACAATGTGCTAATTTCACCGCTTTAACTTTATTAGTTTAAGAGAGAAAGTCTATTGAATATGACTTATTTTTAAAGCGTTGAAAATTCGAACATACAAGGCTTTCACGTGAATGTACTTAGGGGGCACATGTCTAATCCGTATATGACAAATGATGACATTTTCTGAAACTACATGAATTTTGAAACAATGTAGTGCTTTGAGCGGCTGTGATATGGCGGGAGTTCGAAGTTCTATTGGTGAGAAAGCTTTTAATTATTTTTAAGATGTATGTCGTGGTGGCCATTGTAAGAGTTTAAAAATTAAGCCTTGATGCCAAAACCTGTTGAATATTTTAGCGATGTCCATGAAAACCGCTTTTGAATTTTTTTGTGGGGAGGGGGGCAGAAGGAGTAGAGATGTTGTGAGATACGCAAAAGTTGATGGGCTGTGTAATGTTTGATAGTGAATCCGAATTGGTAGAATAGTACGAGGTTTATTTTTTAAGGTAATTGATTAAGTTGTTAGGATTTATTTTTTGAATTTTTTGATAAAATGAGGAGGCGGCTTATGGGCCTAATGTTATCGGGGTTGTTGTGATTCTTATTGAGTTTGGGAATAGGGAGGATGATAGAGTGTTTCCAGGTAGTAGGTGAGTAGCCAGTTCTTAAACATGAGTTATATAGTTTTACAATGAAGTCCATGCACCCAAGCGCGTTGTGGTGATGGTTAAGTGAACGATAGTGTCGCGAGTTATTTATACTCAACGAAAAATGTAATAACTACTGTGTTGCTGCTTTTTATTAAGTATCCAGCATCAAAAAGATTTATTGGACTACAGATGAGTCTCTCTATTCTGAAATGTCACTTACAGCGAGGAAATCTTACGCAACAGCAACAACTACTGATGTTTTTCCGAAGAAAGAACAAGCCATCGTTATAGAAGCGAATGACGGCATCTCAATCAAGAAGTACAGCACAGCTTTAGCAGGTATTGTGAAGCCATGCAATGTTAGATTCGTATCCAGAATCTCCAATAATAGAATCTGTATATTTTTGTCGTCAAAAAATGAAGCCGAAGAGATCACCTCTACAAACCAGACAAAATTAATGATCAACAGCTGCATGCTAGGCCACTAATAAATCGACACACTAGAGTAATTATCTCCAATGTTTGACCGATTATCCCGCATCATGTTATCGCTCAAGAACTTGAAAAATGCAATGTCAAAATGACCACAAATATATATTTTCTCAAAGCCAGATTATCTGAGCCTGGATTTCAACATATGTTGAGCTTTCGTCACCAAGTTCAGCCAATTACAGACTCAGCTAGCCACCTACAGAATTTTCATATCTGCAGATAACATGATCTGTTTTGTTTGCAAACAGGAAGGTCGTCTTGCTAGGGAATGCCTGTCAGTTCCCTCCAACAAAGAACCTTCAGTAAGTATTAACTTTGATCATAATGCAGAAAACGCAGAAGAAACAGACATAACTATTCAATCTGTAAATCCAACTGACAACGAAGGTAACAAGAAGTCAACAACTCAGTCAACTTGAAACACTAGCTCCCGTACCTACAACCAGTAATAGTACTAATTTTCCAAGCTTAAACAAGAGAAGTCTTCCATCTGAATCATTTTCCCAGCAAGAATCATTACATAATAAAGTACACTCTAATTCTAAAATAAGTCAAAAACAGCCCAAGAAAAAAAAAGAATTAAACTGATAAGGTTTCCCTTCAGGAAATCTTACCTCAAAAATCTGTCGATGAACTTATTGCTCCTATTAAAAATGTAATTGAATCAAACCTGCAAAAATTTCCCCTAACATACCTGCAATTCAAATCATTTTAGAAAATTCATTTGGAGCTACTGATCCTGCTCTATAGCAAAAAATTATACCAATGATATTGAAGGAATTATTCAAAAAAATCTTCAATAACACAAGAAATTACCATCCATTCAAACCTTGAACGCATTGCAGTCAAGGTTTGCCTAGCAAATAAATTCCTATGTATCTGTAATATTTATTTACCACCCAACTCCCAACTGTGACTTTAACATTGGAGATTTGCAACAAATAATTGATCAACTTCCAAGTCCATTTCTTCTCTTACATGACTTCAGTAGTCACAGTTACATATGGAGTTCAAATAAAGAAGATAAAAAGATAAAAGAGGAAAAATAATAATGAAAATTTTAGAGGATACAAATCTACTTCTACTTCATAACAATATCCCAACCACCTGAACAATACTTTTAGAACTCTGAATGCCATTGATTTAACCATATTCTCATCATCTATGGCTCATAGCTGGAACTGGAAAACTGTGGTTGTTCTATATGGAAGTGATCATTTTCCAATCATAATTACACATAATAAAAACTCCTTAACAACTGATAATGTACATTATATCCCTAGGTGGAAATTTGATAAAGCAGATTTTGACAAATACAGAATAAAAGAATAATAACAACAAAAATAAACGAGATCTAAACCATAATTACTCCCTTTTTGCTATTGAAAAAATTGAGGATTTTACAAATTTAATATTAAAAACTGCTAATGAATCTATTCCAAAAACTATAGGAAACCTGGAAGAAAACAATTCTATGGTGGAATGAAGAATTTGCAACTGCTCACAGAAAACATAGACATGCATTCTCAAAATACAAAAGACGTGCATCTATTGATAACCATATTGAATATAAAAAATCAAGAGCATATAAGATTATTTCTCTACATGCAAGAGAAATATTCAAAGAAAATAAAAGAAATTCATGGATACAATTCATCTCCTCAATGAATTATTTCTCCAACATGACTGAAAATGGGAAAAAATTTAAATCAATAAACAGTACTTACAAGCCACCTGCTAATGGTAAAACCATATTTCATAATGAAAAACTAGTAACACCCAACAAAGCCAATAGTAATAGCCAACATCTTAGCAAATCAATTTGCCAATAATTTAAATGATAAAAACTTCAGTGATAAATTCCAAACATACACGGCAAATTCTGAAATTAACATTAAAAATATACTACAAGAAAATACAATAATCAATGCTCCAAGTACATGAAATCAAGAACATCCTAACGTGTACTAGGAATTCCAGCCCAAGACTAGAAGGCATCCATAACAAATTTCTAAAAGAACACCCTCCAATGGATATTGAATATGTACCACTTTTATGCAATGAACTTTTGACTCAAGACATGTTTCCTGATAAGTGAAAAGAATCGATTGTTATTCCTACCCCAAGCCAGAGAAAGATCACACCATACCAGAAAACTTCAGAAAAATATCCTTAACATCTACGCTTTGTAAAGAAATGGAGAAGGCAATCAGCAAAAGATTAATTTGGTATCTTGAGAAGGAAATATTACTATCACCATAACAAAGTGGATTCAAGCAAAATCACTCAACTACTGATCACTAAGTCAACATTCTCAGTGATGCATTCATCGCAAAACAACATGTAGCTGCTGTAAATCTGGATATTGAGAAGGCTTATGATATGTTATGGAAAGACAGAATTATGAATATCTTAATAAAATTAGGAATAGATGGTCACACATTAATCTTTATTGCCTACTTTATGGAAGATAGATATAATTAAGTTAAATTAAATGGTGTATTTTTTGACATATAAAACATGCAATGGCCTCCCTCAAGGATCTGTACTTAGTGTTTTTCTCTTCCTTGTTGCTATAGATGAAATTAAAAATCTAATTCCTCAACTAATAAAGATATATGTTTGCTGATGATTTACAATATTAATAAGTGGAAAAAATATCAATACTTCTCAAAAAATGCTACAAAACAGTATATATAATATTCAAGAATGGGCTGATAAATCAAGATTTCAGTTTTCCTAAACAAAGACTCAATGTATACTCTTCAAAAAAGAGACACACCCAATAAGCAACTTAAATTACCATTAGGATCACAAATAATTAAAACCTCAAATCAAATCAAAATTTTAGGAACGATTTTTGATAGTAAAATAACATGGAAACCACACATACAAAAATTAAAAATGGAATGTTTCCACAGATTGAATACAATAAAGTGTATCACGGCCTCTACTTGGGGAGCCAACAAAAATAGAATACTGTCTTCCTACAAAGCTCTTATAAGGTCCAAGCTTGACTAAGGATCTGTAATATATCAATCTTCTAATCCAACAATTTTAAATACTCTCAATATAATGCAATCGACTTGCCTAAGACTAGCAATTGGTGCTTATAGAACCAGTCCAATCTCAAGTATTCTTGCAGAAGCTAACGAAGAACCATTGTACATCAGAAGAAGGAAAGTTTGCTACACATACGCATGCAAAATATCACAATCTCCACTCAACCCAACATATGAAAATGAGTTTTCTACTAAGAACAGTGAAAAATACTCCAAATACTCAAAATCACCTAAACCAGTCTACCACCTACTAAATCAATTTCTCAAAGAAATACAAATAGAGTTTCTATTAATTAAACAAAATTTAATTCTTAGAAGACCACCTTGGATAACACCAAAGGTTTATTAAAGAATTAATCATTAATAAAGATCTATGTATATACTACAAGAAAGATACGAATCCACTAATATATCAATCTCTCTAATGAAATTAAAAACAAGCACAAGAACTATGTAAGTGTCTTCACAGATGATTCAAAAACAAAAAATGGGTCAGGATATGCTTTAATGGATAATATCATTGAACATATCAAACCCAACGATATTTCTTCAATTTTCTACTGTGAAGCATATGATATACTGAAAGATTTAAAGAATATATCATTATTACCCAACAATTAATTTATAATACCTCTGCTATTTCTATTATATGTTAATGATAGTCCAAGCTCATCTGATTTCTCTGTAATTTTTTATGCAGATGATACAACATTAATAAGTAGTGGGCAAAATCTTTGTCATCTATAAGCTAATCTGACTGAATCATTAAAATCAATTAAAAGTTATTTGTCCATAAATGAATTGAAATTAAAGTTGATAAAACAGTATTAATCAACTTCAAGTTTCATCATGGTCACAAACACCAAAACATAAGTGGAAGTAGACAATGAATCAGTGAACCAAACTGATTGTCATAAGTTCTTAGGAGTATTCATAGATCAAAACCTAACATATAACAAGCAAGTTGATACACTTTGTAATAAAATAAATTCTAATATATTCCTCTTGCAGTACTTTTCCAGGTACCTGAAAATTGATGCACTTATTTCAGTGCATTATGGGATAATCTTCTCTCAACTTCAATACGGCATTGAAATTTGGGGTGGTACAACACAAAAAAATATGGATAGATTAATGGTCCTACAAAAGAAATGGATAAGAAGCATTTTTAAACTATATCCCAGACAGTCCTGTAAAGATTTTTTTATTAAATATGAATTACACACTGTTGTAGCACTCTACTCTTACAAACTATTATTACCATTGACAAATAATTAAAATCAATATTTTGTGAGCAATAAAGAGATACATAATCACCATACTAGAGGACATAGAGACTACCACAGGATATACACTGGCAAGTCTTCAACTAACAAAGATCCTTTCTGCATTGCTGCACAGCTCTTTAATAAACTCTGATAAATAAACTGATAATGATAAATACTTCAAAACACTGCTTACACATCATTTTATTAGTGTGTATTCATACAAGATATCTGAATTGCATTAACTTTCTGTTATTAAAAACCTTGTACCGCTACTATTTATTATCATTATCATCATCATCATCATCATCATTATCATTATAATGTTTTTCTATTTGGTTATTCTATTTTATTTTTGTTTTATATTTTAGATAATAACTTGATTATAATTTGTCAAATATTAATTATGTCAATTGTTAATTGGGCACTGTATAGACTAAGTTTTGTTTTTGTGTCCTATTATTTGTTGATTTGATTTGTCACTACAAGTCTTCAACATGCTAATTAAGTACAACTTAATACTCATTTTTGCACGTTGCTAACTGCCATCTAGTTATATGTGAGTTTGTAGCAAAAAACCATCTCATCATTCTAAACTCTGGGAATGAGAACACTTTCCAACAGGGAGATACTTCATCTATACAGTATTTGACAATAAGTACTTCCAGACTGGCCGGATGGATGGTGTTGGATGAAGAAACCTTGAGTGACCACCGATACATAGGGTATGCCGTATTATCAGAGGGACCACAATATGGTAAGGCGAGATACGAAAGAGGGCCATCTTGGAATACCAAAAAACTTAATGGGGATAAGGTAAAACGCTTTTTGGAAGAATCCAGGTTACTGGCAAGCATGGGTTGGACAAATAAAGCGAAAACATTAAAAAATGTGGTAAAGACAACGGAAGAAATAGTGACAGCAGTGTGTGACACGTCTATGCCTAGAAGCAGTGGCCCCAGGAATAAACAACAAATGTGCTGGTGGACCTCGGAAATAACAAAAATACGTAAGAGCTGCATCAAGGCTAGAAGAATGGCGACTAGAGCCACGACCGACCTATACCTTAGAGAGCAATATAAAGCGCAGCGTAAGAGACTTAAAAAAGAAATTAAAAGGCGCAAAAGTAGAAGTTGGAAGGTACTCCAAAGGCAGATTTATAATGAACCTTGGGTTATGGCGTATAAGATAGTGACTAAGAAGTTTCGGATGGGTTCCAAAATATCTTGCCTGAATGACCCACAGTGGATGAAGGGAGCTATTAGAGAGTTCTTTCCCACAAGAAATCGCTGGGTGAGGCTAAGACAAAATGATTTTATGTTCAATGATGTTGATTACTTTACGACAGACGAATTGCGGAATGCAGTGAAGAATATGAAAAGTGGGAAGGCACCAGGATTGGAAGGGATCCCCACCGAAATATTAAAATTAGTGGTACAAGTATAACTAGAATGTCTTCTGGCAGTCTATAATAGATGCCTTAAGGACGGGAAATTTAACAAGAACTGGAAGAAACAAAAGCTGATACTCCTCCGGAAGGGCAAGAAACCATTGGAATAGACACCGACGTATAGACCACTGTGCCTTCTTGATACTATGGGCAAGTTACTGGAGGGTCTAATACTCTCAAGACTTGAGAAATATATTAGCTTTTCTCATAGACAATATGAATTTCAGAAAGGCTGTTCGACGACGGATGCGATCTTAGAAGTAGTTCTCATCGCAGATGCAACTAGAAATGGAACTTTGAGAAAGAAGGGATTCTGCGCCCTTGTAGCAATTGATATTAGAAACGCCTTCAACTCAGCCAGGTGAAAGGACGTCGTGGAAGCATTGGTTGACAGGAGGATCCCTGAATTTTTTGTTAAGGATCATCGAGGACTACATTCATGAAAGGAAGATAATTTATACGGATAACATCCAGATTGAAAAAAAATATGACGTGCGGAGTTTTACAAGGGTCCAGACTTGGCCCCTTTTTATGGAATGTTCTGTATGATGGCATATTGAGTATTAACCTTCCAAGAAATACTCAAATTTTAGGATTCGCGGATGATACACTAATAAGTCATAGTGACGATATTGAGGTGATTGAACTAAGAGAGAATGAAGCATTCTATAGCGTTAAAAGATGGTTAGACTGACGACTTCAGTTCGCAGTAGGAAAGACTGAAGCTGTGTTAATTACCGATCGGAGAGCTGTTCGCTTTCCCAATATCCGACTGGGAGAAGAGAGAATAAACAGGAAGCGCCAAATAATATATCTAGGGGTTGAGATATACAGTAGACTTACGTTTGGGTCACACATAAGTGTGATGGTAGAAAAGGCAGCGAGGACAAGATCCAACATAGCAAGAATACTGCCAAATGTAGGTGCACCACGAGAAGCCAAGAGAAGATTGATATTTGGAGTAGTTCATTCACAATTGTTGTATGCAGCACCAGTCTGGGCGAGTTATTGGAAAAACAGGTTATGAGAAATAAGTATGCTCAAGAGCAAAGACGAATGGCCCTGAGGGTGACGGCTGCCTACCGTACGGTGTCTACTTGCGTAGTGCTAGTATTGGCCAGTATCCTGCCCATCGATATGATAGCTATTGAAAGTAAAATGACGTACTCCGCCTTACAGGAAGCTCGACAAGTAAACAGCCGTCTCCCTCCCAAGGAAATAGAGACTATGTGAGCGATGCTAGGAAACTACTTTTTGAAGAGTGGCAAAGAAGGTGGAATGTAGACGCTAAAGGTAGATGGACACATCGGATAATTAATAACATTGAGAAATGGGTCGGTCGAAAGTGTGGGGAGGCAAATTATTACGTAACCCAGGCTTTTACGGGGCACGGTGGCTTTGGTAAATATCTTACAAGATTAAAGAAAGTCCGAATGTAACTTATGTCGAGAAGATATTGACGATGCAGAGCATACACTGTTTCAGTGCAAAGCATGGGATGCGGAAAGGGAGATTTGTAACGTTAAGATTCAACAAGTGATAACTCCAGAATACATGGTGGACATGTTGAGTTCGGAGGTGAAGTGGACTATAATAGAGAACTACTTAGTTAATACCATGAAGGAAAAGGAACGGAGGAGTTAAAGCAATAGCTTCCAGTCAATGTACCACGCGAAGTAATGTCTGGCGTCTGGTTTCCGCGTGGGAGAAATCACGACTTACGAGATGAAGGTTTAGGGTTTTAGTCGGTAAACCAAGAACGGGAGTCCGACAATACTGGCTCCTCCGGTCTCCATAAAGGATTCCCCTTCCAAAAAAGAAATTTTTTTAAACATTTAAAAAAATGCCATCTCCTTTCATTCATTTATTTTCCATCCATTTGTAATTTAGAGAATAATTGGATGATTATGTTTTATTTTTGCCTGTTGAGTTTTGTCATTACAAGACTTAATGTTGTTAGTTATGTACAACTATATTTTCGTACTGTAAACTGCTAACATCACAAGATGATAATTCGTAAATAATGTATAATGTTCCTGTAACTCTCATACAGTTTTTTTAATTGTTCACTGTATGGACTAATTTTTGTTTTTGTGTCCAATTATTTAATTCCTAATTATTTATAATTGGACAATTAACTCGTGTTAATGTTAGCTGTCATTTGGCTTATAAGTTCTCTTTTTTTTCTTGATTTGTTAATTTAGAAAATAATTTTATTTTGTTTTGCTTGTTGATTTGTCACTACAAATTTTTAAAATGTTATTTAAGTATAACTTAATTTTCAATTTAGCCCATTGCCAACTGACATTTATTTTTATTTATTTACAATTCATTTGTTATTTTAGATTATTTAATGAATATAAATTTATTTTTGCCTGCTGAGTTTTCTTGGAAAAAAATATAAATTTCAATAGAAACAATTCATACATCATACAGTAACTGGCAAACAGTACAGATGATGAGTGAACTGTAATCAACAACAGTAATCCAGAAAAGAAAACAATCAAACAAACAAACAAACTTACAATGTAACACACTCTTCTCTGACTAGTACAAAAAGTACTTAGAGAGGGTTGGAAATGTACTGTATAAGATAAAATAAATTTAAATCTGATAAGATCAGTATTTTTACTAAAAGGTTAAACAGGATGTAATGTATGTAATGTAGTTGAACAAAATTGGTATTCTTTTCTTATTGTTTTTATGTGATGTTTTTGTTAACACTGTCAATGTAATTCCTTTGGAAAAATAAATTATTAATAATATAATTATTATTATAATTATTATTATTGATTATTATTATTAGTATTATTATTATTATTATTATTATTATGTTATTATTATTATATTATTATTATTATTATTATTATTATTATTAAGTATAAACAGACTCCCAAAGTGTAATTGAATGCTTGAAACATAATCAAATAAATAGTAAATGTATACTAACTATGACCCAAATCAAAAAGAGTAAGAAGTAATTATTGTTTGGATTTCATCTCATATTGGCATCAAAGGAAATTCAATTGTTGACAATGCAGCAAGAGAAGCCACTAACATACCACTACAAGAACACTTTGTATCCCATACTGATATTAAAACAGAGCTCCGCCGTCAAAATAGAAAATTTTGGAATGAAGAATTGATTAAATCACCTCCAACCAAGCTATTTGAAATAAGGAATTCAATCCTTGATTGTCATGTCCCTCATCTTTAAAAAAAGAAAAGAACCAATATTCTCACTAATTTATGAATTGGCCTTCAAAATTAACTCAGGATCATCTGATTACCAAAGAAGGCCTTAAAATATGTGACTATTGTAAAATTTACAAACTATACCACATATTCTCTCACAGTACCAAAAGTATAATCTGAGAAGAAAGTATGTTCTGTCTAATGGCATTAAAAGTTTACTGAATGACAATACTTAAATTAGAAAAGTAATGAAGTTTTTAAAAGAAATAAAAATCTATGACCTTCTGTAAACTTTTTCTTGTGTTATGCTAATTGTTAAGTAAATTTACTTAGTGTTAGCTACGTTGACATGCTCTTGTGTATTTTTTGTGCTTTTCTGTCATAGAGAAACTAATTAACTTATATGATGCTTCAAGACAAACATATAAGTAATGAAAATATGTGACCGCATATGATATCTCCTCTTGGTATTATGTAATTTACAATTTATTTTACCTATTCTTGTTATTGAAAACACCAATAAAAAAATATTACTTGCAATTTAAATGATTCTTAGTAACTCAATTACATAGAAAGTGACTAATGTTATTTATTTATAAAATATATGATCATTGTTTACCAAGTACTATATACAAATTATAATTAACAATGGATATGTTACTTTGGCTAAGATATTCATTTCCTTTATTAATTCCAATAAGACCAATTAGAAATTTCTCATTAAATGTACAGTTGCTCCTGGTCTATGCACAAAAAAAGTTAAGAATAATAATAAAAAAAGCTGTATATTAATTAAAATACCAATCAAATGTTCTGGGAATATGATGTTAGAGCAAGTGTTATTTTTGTTTTTTGTCAAGTTAAATACTAAGTATCTAAAAATTAAACACTTCTTTTGAGTTCATATTAATCTAATATATATTGTGTGAAAGTTGATGCGAAATGGTCAGCTAATACTTCCGTTTTGTCAGCAGTTGCGTTTCTATTTGAAGTAGTTAGTGGGGAATTATGTTTTGTTTTTTTCTTGAGTATTCTTTAAATGAAATTCCAGAGTGAGTTATTGCTCGTGTTTAATGAATGTGTGATTTTAATGTATTTAGTTTGTTTATGGTGTTCTAGAGCTTTCTTGCAGATTTTCGTGAGAGTATTTAGTTTTTTTTATAAGTAAGGGAATCCTAAGTGCCATCCATCCATAACCTCCTAGTTTTATTTTTAGTTTCTATGATTTTATACGTGTTTACGAAGAGTGATCAATCGTTCAGGGTTGAGTTTGCCTATTGTTTTAATTATAATATTATTTTATTGCCTGGTATTTCAGCTGGAGAATTTAGTACTTCAAATAGGGCATTTGATTTCGCATTATATTTTTGAATTTGGTTTAGGTTAGTTTGTAAGTATTTAATGCTGGAGTGGAGTGTGGGGAGGGGGAATTTGATCTGTAGAAATAATTTCTAGTATATGATCCGAGTCTAGTTCAAAATGCGGTGTTGAGTGAAAAAAAAACATATTGGCATTTATGTTTGTTATTCTTATGTCAAGTATATCAGGAAGGCTGATTAGATCATGGGGAAAATAGGTTGGGAGTGATATCAATTTAATTTTGTTTGTTACAACATATTTTAAGAGTGGAGTACCTGCTGCAGCCCCAGTAAACATGTTTAGCATTTAGATCACCTAAAAGAACATAAGATGGTAAGTGCAAATGTAAAATGTTTACATCAATAAAATTTGTTTTTATGTTGGGGGAGTTATAAGCAGCAATGATAGTCAAATTCGGATTGGTGTTGGTAATTGAAACTGCTATTGTTTCGATGCTAGTGATGAGTATTGAATTTTCTTCGAAATAGGCGCTAGTGTTTTTAATGAGTGTGATGACTCTGCCACCTGGAGAGTTGGTCCTATCCATTCTTACTGTGTTATAACCTGGTATTTTGAAGGTTGCTGGAGGTTTTAAATGAGATTCTGAGATGCATGCAACGTCAACATTGTTTGGAGAAAGAAATGGAGTTGTTTTTTTTATTACTGATGTCACATGCGTTCCAGTTTATTAGGATTAATTTATGATTTCAATTATTTTGCGCCATTGAGGGAACTAAAACAAGAAGTAATTCCTTGTTGTATGTTTTGAATAATAATTGTATTGACTGAATTTATGATGTTCATTATGTGTTATTGTATGATTGATAATATTATGGATAAAAGGAGTGCTCAGAAGGTGGTTTGGGGCGAGACTATTTTGCAGATTGTGAGTTGAGACGTAAATTAGATATTATTTGGTGGGCAATTAAAAGTTGTTTCATGGGTAAAATTAGGTATGTTAGCAGTTCTATGAAGTCTAGGGAAATGGTGGGTGTTTTGAGTTGGGGTGAGGTTTGTTTATAATTTCTCATGTTTGTAGGGAAGTTTTGGGTCATTCGTTTTATTGTTTTATTTTCCAATAATTTTCTAAAATATTGTTATTCTTCAGTATTGTGATATATATATATATATATATATATATATATATATATATATATATATTGGTAAACGTTTAGTATATGGTATATCCTTAGAGAAGCGTAGCGGCCGGGCTTAAGACCTAATTACTGTACGTGCTCTAATAGAAATGAATAAAACTTACGGATAGGCAATTTTCATGGTTCGCCCTTCATATACTTTGTCCCCGCCGCATTGTAACGCCAATTTACTTTCAAAGGCAAATTTTCTCGCTTCGCTCGCCCGGATCCAAGTCACGGCGAGGTTCGGGCCTTCGGCCCTCGCGTTCTCTATAAACATCCTTGAGTCTATCCAACGCATAATTACCAATTCACTTTTATAAGACACCACTTTCAAGAAAGCCTCCAGAATTCTAACTGCCTAGTTAACGCTGGAACGGCGTGAAGTGCCGGTTTAAACTTCGTTAGGTTGTATCGTATACTATATTTCAGCCCCGTAACTAGTACCAGAGTTGGCATGTACTTTTTTGGATGGATCGATTTGGATAGGATCAGTATTTCCACGTTTGCCACTATTCACTAAGGAGATTGGAACGAAGTTTGCATTAATATTATCACTGCACCTAGAAGAAGAGGAAGCGCCTTCTGCTGGCACATAATGACTGACCTGATTTCGTTGATTATTATTCTGCATACTTGTAGCCTGAACTGGATACTCTGGCGGTGCTGTTTGATGAAACATCGGCGCGTGTTGAGAAGGAGAAGAAGAATGTAGATACGCTGGTGCGGTCTAGTCACGGTCATCGCCTTCCACGACCTCCTTTTGGCCGTCAGTTGGATCAACCAGGGCTAAGGCATCGGCTATGCACTGGCTCATACAGCGTTGTTGAATGATGATGTAGAGTTAATCACTTCTTATTCAAGTGCACTGAGAAGAATTCAACTTTACGCTACGAAACGTAAACTGCTACTGAGAGTAATGCTGCGTTCAGAGGTCCGCACAGTTCGACTGCTCCGAGCGGAATAAGTTTAAAACGTGTTAGAGAAAATCGATAATCTCTCTCAACAAAAGAGATTAATTTATTCAACAAATTTTCGTATAGGATTAGGTTAAATTTCTGTAATATTCGTAATGTTGTTTTGTAGTTTGTAATGTTGTATTAATGTAATAATTCTTAATGTAGGTTTACTTTATTTAATATTCTTAATGTAATATTTCATTTCTACTTTAAAGGGACTGAAAAATTGATAAATAAAATTTAAAAAATATCAGCAATATATAACAGCCGGGAAGAAGGTTATGCAAAACCGGAAAGCTAGTCTGGTTAATGATATCAGAAGACAACTACTGTAGGAAAGTTTGTTCCATTCTGAAACAACCCTAGTTTATTTTTAAATAACTATGAAAAAGATCTAAAACTTGCGGGATGTGGTATACAGGTCCCGTCAACTATGGGCTTCCCCCATAACTTCTAAAGGGTTCTCGATACCGAAAAGCAGTTTTCGCTGAACAATGTGGAATCATGGAGCAAGTACTGTGCCGCAGAGATATCCGAATTATTTTTAGTTTTCAAAAAATTTAATCATTCTTTTATTTTTAAAATGGAACCATGTATATTTATTTATTTATTTATTTATTTACGCCAAACATGTTAAAAACTGTATGTGACGTGCGATGGAGAGAAGTTAATTTGAAGTTACATTTATGTCCAGAAGCAAAACAAGGGGCCAGCTCAGCATTTTCTCAAAGAAATAAAATAGAGTTTCCATTAATTAAACAAAATTGAATTCTTAGATTAACTCCTTGGATAACACCAAAGGTAAAAATTAATAAAGATCTATGTATCAATCGATTTGCCGATAACGTAATCTATTATGGTTTTACTGATTCCTCTAGACCAAATGACTTATTGAATGTATGTTTGAAAAACCCATTCCATACTTTTAACATGTACTGGGGCATAATTATATTAGTCGTTCATTTCCATTTTTCACTTTCTCTCCGTATCTTCTTACAACTTCGTTATGTGCAAGTCTTCCAACTCTACTGTTAAAATATGCCACTAAAATATACCCTTCCGGTTTGGTATCCCATCCAAGATTGTCGTCAGCTGTTTAAAAGACCTATCTTTCTCCTATTCGGTAGCATTGCCATTTGGAGCATATACACGAATGCTATGATGATGCAAACATATGTTAATGTTTTGATACTATTTTTTAGTATAAAGTTATACTTTCTGCCATTTGATTTTAAGTTGAAAGTAAGAGATTTCCTATAGCACCCCTTGCAACTGTCGCCTTTGAGGAAGGTTGCCTTTGCGGTACCGGCAGTTTTCCGGGGAGACGCCTTCACCAAATGTGTTGCGGCGGCTGCTACAGGAAAAATTACTCGTTTAATTTAAAATCTCGTGTAATAAATTATAATTTTATACACAAAATACTATCAAACTAGCGCCCTTTCTTGAGTGCCACATGGAAGCACTCTCCTCCAGGTTTTTCATTTACTCGCGGTGTGAGCGGCAGCCTTTGCATCTCAATTATATTTTTAAGGACGCTATTTTACTGCACGCGGCTGCGCGGTGTTGGGCGCCCCAACCCCATTTGTCAGTAGTCTATGGCTGCACGTGGTGCCTTTTTGAAATCTTTCTTATCTGAAAATTGCGAAGAAAGTTGTGTGATAAAAATAATGGCTGAAAAATTTCTGCGAAAATAAAGTGGCAGCTTCCACTTTTACCTGGAAAGGGATGAGTTAGTCTGTCCCCAATTTACACACGGTTAAAACCCTTATCTTTCTTCTGGTCATCAATTCATAAACGCCGAATCGAGTACAGAGCCGTACTGTCTAGTAGTCTGCTCTAATACTCCTTTATTATTATAATAGATTTTTAAATACGTACATCTATTTAAATTATTTCCCCAATTCGAAATCGATATTTTTTTAAAAAGAGTTCACTGAAGATTGATGGCTAGTGATTAGAACGCGCTATACACCATTGA